GTGTCACCGGTCTATCCAAAGGTATAGATATATATCACACCTCTGTTTATTTTCTTTTGAGATTTTGATTCTGTTCTAATATAGGTTCCTTTTTTCCTTTTTACACTTTAGGTCAATTTCTTTACTATTCATTATACACTTTATTCCTTGGTGTGTCTTAGGTGTCAAATAAAAAAGGGTCAAGAAGATAAGCTTTGTAATTGGAATTATTTGAGATTTTTGTTTGTGAATCCATGAAATTTTTATGGAGATAGGTGCTTAGTCTCTGACATCTAATGACCTCAAGCCTAGCTGTTTTTATGCTGTTGTAGTACGAGTTGTTTCGTTTTATGTTCTGTAAAAATGCTTTGAGGTAGCTTACGAGAAGGGAAGTACTATAAGTTGTTTCATTTTGTGAAATAATGAGCACGCATTATGCAAGCCTGTTTTTATCTTCTTATATTCTGATTTTCTTTCAGAAGCGAGGGCACAGGTCAAGGAAGCGACAGAAAGATTAGGTGGTAAATACAGTCCCAATCTTCATCCCCAATGTACCCATTTGGTGGTTCAGATATCCTTATAACACTTGCTAAAAGTTATATAAATTTTAGTATCTTGTCATGTAGTGTGTGTGATGTCTTATACGGATCTTATTTATTTCACGAAGCATATTACAGTGGAGGCTTCTCACCATCCTGAACAGATTTTGCTTGCGTGATCTTCTTGTTGGTGCAAGATTTTTGTGAATTCTTAATCCTTATTTACAGCTTTGCTGGACGCAAGTTCGAGCATGCTTTGAAACATGGAGCAAGGAATGGTCTCTTTGTTGTTACACTGGGATGGTTTGTGGATAGCGTCAAGAGAAATGGTAAATGCAAAGTAAATTTTTTTTGTGGATGATAAAGATAGCTTGTAGAATTTTAAGCTTGGAAATAATGCTGGTTGACACATGTTGGCTGCTTACTATCCTTGGTGCTTGTGCTATTCATAGAAATATTATGTTATTGGAATGAGTTTGTTTTAGAATATAATTCACGAGTGGATTTTGATGGCAAACGAGAAGATCTTAAAATGGATATACTTAATTAGTGTAGGACAAAGAGAGTTTGAAGATAAAACTTAGAGAGCTCAATAATAAAAACGAATAGTTGGTTTAATAACTAGGATAGAACACCTTATTTATCGGCACCAAAATAGAATCAAAATAGGAAATGTAGAAAATTGATGGCATCACAGGCATTAAAGGAATTTATTTAGGAAATTTACTGTTGGGTTATTTTGCAGTTTATTATTTAATAAGAGTTAAGAGTTTATTCTTATCAGCATTATTTTCTACTTGTAACAGGATTAGTATTCTTAGTTCTACTAATATACTATTTTCTAGTTTAATTCTATTTAAGAAAAATTACTTAAAGATTATATAAATAACTTTGTAATTTTACTTATTGATCATTCAAATATTTAATAATATTTTTGAGAATTTCTCATAATTCATTGTGTTACTCAATCAACTCTTAGGTTTGAAACGTGAGAACTTAAGTGTGATATCTAGGTTTTTTTCCAATTTCTTAGTAGGTAAATTAACTGTAATTTGTCCTACTTCAGTTTGGAACCAAAGTTAAAAGAATCCTAAATCCAGATTCTCCAACCCTATACCCAAACAGCCCCAAACCCATTTAGAAAAATAAATCGCAAATAAAAAAAAAAACCCTTAAACAGCCGTTAGCACTGTTCACTAGCCAACTGGTGGTCATG